TTGCTGCATTTCCGTCTTCAATCCATCACGACGGGGCTGACGAATCGTACGCGCTGTAAACTAGTTCTGTGCACAAGCAAACTCTGCGCCTCTTTGACACCGTAGTAATATCAATAAAGTAATTACATTACACAAGAGGTGAAGCTCAAAATGCAAAGGACCAAATACAGACAGCAGATGCAAACGTTTTAGTTAAATAAAAAAATGGACTACTTAAGATTTTGAATGATTTTTCCCAGACCAAATGCTGTATCTGCATTGAAAAGATGTGTGAGATGATGGAATAGCTCAAAGAGATGGAATTCAAAACGAGACTTTGTCAAGTTGCCAGAGCAGCAGTCCGTCCTGTCACTCGAGGGTCTTCGTTGAGCGTGTTTGAAGGCTAATCAATGGCAGCCGACATCCAACTACAACGACCTCTGATTTAAGCAGTCAACTTAGCAGAAAACATCCAAACATGCCAGCGCCGCTCACCTAGATGGACCGACTGGGTCCTCGAAACGTCGATGCATCGAACAGCTGCTGACGAAGCGCCGACGGAGAAAGGCTGTTGCAGAGAGTCTGCGAATTAAGTTCCCCGAAGAAAGGGAAGGGACGGACAGGACGGGCAACAGCTTTCGGGTGGCTTCGCGGGCGCCAAAGGTTGTGCACTGTGCGCACACGGAAGACGACAACGTTAATTGGGGTGAAGCCTTTGGGAGAAACCCTCCTTTCTGTGTCATTTTCTTTAGTGGATGATTTGCCTGCAGGATGAGATGGAAAACTGGTACAAATTAGCCATTTTTTGTCTGAGACTTGCTAGAGAAGTGGTGAAAACTGTGATCATTTTATCAAACGCTGTCGGTGTTTAGCCGCATTATGTAACAACAATTCCTCCTTTGCCAATAATAATAAGCACTCTTGCCAAGTTGCAAACACCATGTCATTAATCTGTTGTGCGCCACACTCAATTACTCAAATTTCTCCAAGGAACCGGCAACAGATTGTGGCCTTAACTGTGGTTTCACACCATCTATAATTAGAGAAACAATTATTCAATTCCGCCATAATGTTGGCAAACAGGGCTGTGTGACGCGGGCGTATCACCCCGTGTGTGCAGCCGCAGTGTCTCCCTCACCTTCAGAGTTCGCGTGGGGCTAATGAACACGCCTCATAAGAGCTGCATGCTCCCCCAACGGTTCGGAGGATATTTCCCCTGTTTATGTTTGCCATATGGTCGGTAGGGGCCGGGGAATGAGTGTTGAAGCCTTTTGAAGAGGCTCTCCACACACACACACACTCACACACCAATAGCATGTTTCACACTTGCTTGTGTATTAGCTCTGCACAACTTATTTTTTTCGACTTGAGGACACGGTTACTGTTCTTCTAAAAACGTGACGTAGCTTTTATCAGAATCACATTGAAATACATCTGAAAACGATTCAACGTCTAAAAAAGTACGTAGGTAGCTGATGTTGAATTCATGAACATTTGGTGTTTTTGTTTCCTTTATTGAAGTCAACTGATCAGAAGTTACAGCAATTTGAAAAAGGAAATGGACAGTGGCTGTAATCAGCCTGATAGAAAGTCAGACCCAGTGGCTCCATTCATACATGCAGACGAACGGAGTAAAGCAACACGCAGTTTGATCTCCGGGCTGCGTGGGATGAAGTGCTGACATGGTGCAGATCTCCTCCCGGCACTCGGGCTGATTGCCTGAGACAAAAGGAGCAATGAAAACGAATGTCTCCACGGGAGGAAAATCCAGATCAGCACTAATGGACGGGAGTAAAGACAGCTGCTGAAGTAAGTCCAGGATTAAGGTAAACTGTCAAATGGGTTTTATCCGTCTTCTCTCGATTTTATTCAGTTTTGTTTGCCTATAAGTTACTTTTTTGTATTCTTTAACAAAGGATCTGGAGATGTGGCTAACAGGCTCAGTAGTTTCTGTAACATCTATCCATCCTAATGATGTTGAAAAAATCGGTTGTCTCCGTAATTGCATCTTTGAAGACGGCTGCTTCGCAGAGAGGGCAAATTGCATTCCTCGGTTTGGTAATTAAAAGTGTGCAGTGGAAGCTGGGATGGGATGATTAAGGCGGTACGGGCGTTCGACTGACAGATGACTGAATGAGAACTGTGTTGATAACAGTGCAGAGTCCGTATCCGCGCAGAGCCGCCATTCATCACCATGCAATTCACACGCTTGAGATGTTATGGCCTCCTTAAGGCTAATTTGTTAGTGCAGTTGTTTATTCCACCAGCCAACCGATGGAATATCCATCTTCACTCTCCTCCTTTCTTTGATTTGGTCTTCACTTCGCTTTGAAACTGGCCGGCTCAAATTCATATTTTCTGTGTGATTCGTCCACAAATCCTGTTTATTTGCTCACCAGCCGTTGGAGGCGGTCGCCACACAGCACGCTGTTTTACTCTGGTTGAATTTCATCTCTAGAACAGAGGTGGCGAGTGAGCAAAGTGATGCTTGGATCATACACAGCTTTCACACACGCTGCTGCAAATATTTAGTAAACGCGTGTATTCTGGCAATGCAGTGACTGTAAATCAGTGTCGCGCTGTCTGCTTATAGCTCATCACCCAGACTCGTGTCATCCTATTTACAGAGTGGATTTAATGTGCTGCATGTTGATGTTCATCAGCCACGAGAGTCCACAGAGAATCACACTATTCACACGTTAGGAATATGTTTAAAATGAGCATTCATTGTTTTATTCTGACAGCGTTGGAAGCTCCTAATGCAAGTAGGAAGATGTACAGTACAGGGATCAAATGAACTCGTGTTTTGTCGATCAATAATTTAGAAAGGAGTGATTGACAAGGCTACGTCCAGATCCGCTTGGGATTTCCAAGGTTATTGGCCGACATGCATTAACGGGCCGGGTACGAAAAAAGGTTGCAGGAAAGAAGAAAGAAAGGTGTGTGTGTGTGTGTGTGTGTGTGTGTGTGTGTTCTCATGTGAACAAGACAAAGTGCAAAACATGTCGATCAAAGTTCAAAATAAAAGGACACATGATTGTAATGGAGGACAAACACAGTAGATAGTGACTCTCTGCAGAGGACGTGTTGTACCTCTGACAGCAGACTGACAGAGACAATGTGTCCTGCATTCCAGAGACTTCTCATGCTGCCGCACCTTGTTTCACTCTCTAGCAAGCAGACGTGCAAAATAGGCCACGTTCACTAAGGCAGACCTTTATGCTCTGCTCCAAATTGCTGCTCATTCCCGGATTTTTTTGGAGATGGTTTCCTTCATGTCTATTCTGGGATGTTAGTGGTATCCAGCACCGACGTGAAACAACAGCCATGTTGTGAAGAGCGAGAGGAACAAACCATGTTACAAATCTGCAGCTTGTTTTGAAAAGATCCTGGTTTTGATGTCCGCCCCCTATTTTGTGACTCTTTTCACGTTTTTCGAGTTGGCAGCTATGATTCTCAGACTTCCATTCCAAAAAAATGCAACTTTGTATGCCGATAAATTTTCCTTGGTGTCCCCATTCGGAGCTGGTCGTCTTTGGGCTTTAGCAGGTCCCTCATCGGTCTTCTTGATATAACACTATGAAAGCCGGGACCACCAGAATATCCAGTATGGAATCAACTTTCTGTGAAAAAGCACCCGTTTGCCTCCACAGTGAAGAACGAAGGGGATGCGTGCAGCGGTGGTCTTCCACACAGAACCTTTCCCTGTGAACCCTGGAGGAGAGCTCTACGGGCTGCCTGTCAGTGTTTGGAGAGGGCTCATGGTCTTCTTTAAATCCCAGCCAATCTTCTGTCCATCACAGCACTTCATCCCTACTTTAGAGCTCCGCTCAGGTCCACACACTGTCACTTCCTGACATATCTCGCAGACTGCACCTCAACAATACCAGAAAATATTGTCAGTTCCTCCCCGCCCAACTCACTTTCCATGTGTATGTAGGAACAAAGCCTCCCCTCACTAATCCATTCCATATTTGACTTTTTCAGCAGTGTGTGTGTGTGTGTGAGAGCTTCGGGTTTAGTTCTTGACAGATCAGCCCACGCTGATCAGGTGACCGAACAACCAGACCAGTGCAGCACAACACGCGCAGCAAAGGTAAAGAAATCAACCGTTCGTCTGCTGCCGTTCTCGGTAGATTTACACCAATAAAGGATTAGCTTCAAACAATGAGTCAAGCTCTGGTTCTGCCAGCTGCTTTACATATTTAAGGCCAAAATGGGCAACGGGGAGAACAGGCGGCTTAAAGTCAAAGCAGATTGTGCAGCAGTTCAGTAAAGTGAGTCTTGGACAAGAATATTTGTTCCTAAAATTCCAAATGTGCTTTTGTCACTCAGAATGTTATGTTGTAGTCTAAAATAAAAAGCCAAATATATCCCACCATGGCGGACATATTTACTGTAAATCAATTTATTTATGACGCGGAGATGATGAGGTGAGCTCTGAGAAAAAGCATGTCGCTGCTGATGTAATCTCAAAAGACTAACGGCGGATATAACCACCGAATCCATCAGACGTTTAATTGCCTCGACCACGATCATAACTTCTTCCGAAATAGACATTATTATTATCAAATGTCAAACCTATATCCTCAGAAGTGAACCACTGTTTATTCTTTTTAGTTTTAGAATTATTCATGATTGATGTGGCATCCAACCATTACATTCTGCACAGTATTGACCCGGTTTGGTTTCAGGCCAGCAGTTTACCGCACGTGTGATTTTATTTGAATTCCTTCGGGAGCGGTGGATAAACTCAAATGCCTCATTTTAATACGTTGCCATTCGTTCCTTGGTGCTCAGGGAAAACGCTTCCTCTTTCTTGAGACCTTTCTTTTGTTGGCGCAGCCTGTTTCGGTCCCACAGGATATGAATCCCTCAGTGTACTTACTCACGATTTGCAGTGATTCTCCACTTCACGCTCCGTAGTACAGCAGAACTCTCCGGAGACCGATCCCGCAAAGAACAGGTCTGCTACCTCTAAGGAGGTGTGGGAAGGAACCGCGCTCAAACACATCCACTGATTAAAGGGTTTCAATTTGAAGGATTTATTGAGTCTTCTTGCCATCTCACAGAGATATCTTATTACACTAATACAATGGTATTACATTACTGAAGTAACAGATTGCAAAATCAGTTAAAGAGGCAAATGAATCAAAGTGGGAAAGAAAAACATAGATACGAGTCTCAGACAGCAAATATTCCAGCAACAATAAACATATATAGCGTTGATTGCATTAAACAGATAATTGTTAAGGATTTACATTGACATGGTTGCAACACGTGAGTGACGTTGTGAAACCGTCGCGGTCACCAATAAAACACGTGTGATGTAGTGAAAAAGTCGTGGTCAACGCTTCCCGAGATTAACGTTGTAAGTCAGCGTTGGATAAAGTTGAAAGAGTAAAAGCGACGCATTAAACGTAACACGTGGTCCGCGTTGTTTAAATGACCACGCGGGGTAACGCTTGTGTAACAGACGGCGGTGACACTGTGACCCTGATTAACGCTGTGATGTTTGTAACGAGTGGTTACTGTAGTGAAACAGTCACACATAACGTGTGACTAATGTCATGAATTGTTCCCGGTTAATGTGATCGGCGCTGCGAGATGCTCCCCGGCAGCATTTTAGGTGACGCCGTCAAACGGTTAAGGCAACAAAACCACTTGGTCAGGGTTAAAGTTAGTTAAAGAGCGTTTTATAGCTCAAGCTCGACGTCACATGATATAAAGTAGATCTTTTAATGTTAATGTGACCGGGCTGTAACATTGTGAAAAGGCAAACAAATCTAAAATATTACAGTAGCACATCTTTACATTTCATCATAAAAACATGAACAACAGCTTCTCTCTTATTCTTTTCATCAGTCAGTAGCGTGTTTCATGGAGGTGAGCTTTGTCATTCCGCATCAAAGGTATGCATCTTGAAATGCACGAAATAATGTTGTAATGCAAATGATGTTCTTCATCACGCATCAATTATCTCGAATCATTCAATGTTTTATATTATGATGTCCCATTGTGAGATGAATACGACATGTGGATTTCCAAAAATATCCTGTTGATGTTGCAACTAGTTTAGATGCAGTTACACTTTCTGAATGTATTCACTTGCTTATGGAGGATTCGGAGAAACACTTCTAGACGTACTTCTCTTTTAGCTTTAGGGATAAAATGACTGCTAGGTGTTACTTTTCACTTCCGTACTCTCTCTTCTCACCAAGTTACACAAAATACAATTTCACAAACAAAATAGCAGCAAATCACATTTAATCTATATCTGGTACGCCTGCCGTGTTGCTCAAACAATAGCAACACGGGAGTGATGGAAAGCAGATTTAAAGAATAAAGCTTTGTAAAGAATCATCTCATCTGTTTCCGATAAACAAAGAGCAGCGTGGAATTGTTCTTGCATAAAATCAACACTCAAAACATTCACGCCTGTCCTGAATTCTGTAGATGAACTGAGGGAAGTATTACAAGTATTGATTAAAAATGTCTCTTATAATGACTGCTGGTCACCGCCGGTTACACGTGTGACCTTTAATTGTCTCGTGCAAAATGAAACACGGAAAGTTGATTGTGGTCACAGATGCTCAGCTGAACAATCAGCGACAACCTCAATGAACTAGCAGGGACATCGTTGTGCACTAACACATTGATTTGCGGTATTCGGTGGTCTTAAAAACGGTCCACCGTGATGTCACACGGCTAAAGTAGTGGAGGGCTGTTGCCTTGTTTCAGGAGCTGTTGATGCTTTTTAGAGCTAATGGAAGAGGATGGTGTGGAGTTAAGCTCCACGCACATAACACACACATGCAGAAATTATTTACAGAAATAATTCCATAGTTATGACGCATGTGGGATGAAAAAGGATTTTTACCAACATGCACCGTTTCTCCCGGGTACTCCCACACCTGCGTACCTGACATGTTGGGATGTATGCTTAATCCTTTCATTGTTGAGAGGTAGATGAGAGAATGTATTCCTGTATCTCCACACCTCAGATGGCACTTCCCGACAGGGAGCTGAAGCCGTTATCTTTGCGCTCTATGCCAGCAGATTACTGCAGCCAACAGAGCAATTTTACCCTCAAGCGCATGTTGCAGGTTTATCGCTGCATTGATCAGTAAGTTTGTGTGAGTTTTAGATCAATTCCCACAATAAGACAAACAAACTAATCAAAGCAGTGGAAGACCTTCACATTTTACCCAATGTTGGGTACAATTTGGCTTTGAAAAGAGCTCAGATAACGGCTGCAGTTTCTCACTTTATCCGCCGTCACACACAAAGCGATGATCTACGAAATAAATCACTCACTAAAGTGATGGGATTTATTTTAATTGTGGAAGATACGTTTTGTGGTCGGCCTAATTCACGGCAGAACTTCTGTCTGTGTATAAGCGTCAGTAACTTTGGACAAGGACCGCATACACCTGCTCCAAAAAAATCCAAACCACCCATTGAACTATGGGGCTGGGAGTCAATTAGCTTAGCTATGGTTAGCGTTGAGGGAAGGAAAAGTTATTTCTTTTACTTTTGCGGCGTAATTTGAACTCGAGCTCCCCAAAGAATAATGGTATAAGTATAATAATATCAAGTAAATTAAACTTGCACCTTTTTTGTTTCTGTAATATTCATTGAGGTCACACTAAGAAATGACTTTGAAGTTGAGGTAAAACATGTGGAAACCGGAGGTGAAATGGGATAAGAGGGACGGATGTGACACTGTGACGCTTAAAATACGAGATAAGAAATTCATCTTTCCATGTTTATCAAACTTGTCCATCCTGGAGGACTGCAGTGGTCCTGAAAATAGGCAGATGGAGAAGGTTTTGTAACCGTTCCGAGAACCACTCCAGCCACATATTTATGGACATTTGATAACCTGTCAGAGCGCTGCCATCATCCAGTTATGGTTTGCAAACCAGTGGTTTAGAAACTGGGTGGTTATCTTCGTCCTCCATAGATCAGATATGTAGAAGAGAATCATGACTAGAATCGTTTCCAGGGCAGGATGGAAAAGCATTAGAAGCTCAAAAAATGAACAAGAAAATACAAAAAAACAGAATAAAATGGATAATCCTGGTGGAAACTGGACACAGACACCCTTCAGAGTTAAGACCTAGAAAGAAAAAAGAAAACACGTTGAGCACGGAGGCTATTGAGATTTTTAAAAGAATGTGTCATCAAAACTTGTTTCAATCTCACTCTTATTAAAAGTTACTTTAATATGAAGAACAAGCTTTGCAAATGTAAAATGTCTGGTTAGAAATGCTGTAAAATGAAGAAAGTCTGCTCATTAAACCATCTCAGGATTAGTGTAAAGTGTTTGATAAATGGTCGTGAAACAAAACCGTCTGGACTGAGATGACTATATTTGTAGTTCTACTTCCTATGGAGTAGTTTAGTGGAATTGCCCCTGTGTGCCCTATTAGATAACAAAATGTACACAACAAACCACCTAAATAGTCACGTACATTTAAAATGTTGTCTTACCTACTGGGAACTAAATAACTGGTATTCCAAAGCTAGCTCCCGGGATTCTAAAGTTTCACTAGTAAACTATACGTGGTGAGCTCACAGACGATCGCTCGCTGAAAATAGTGGTTTGCAGAATTGCCCCCTTGATACCTTGAGGGCAGAAAAGGAATAACCTGATGCATCTGACAGTGAGTATATACCTATATGTTGAATCAGCATTTCCTGTTTTCATGAAGATGTTGAGCACACAAGTAGTGGTATTCAGTCTGCGTGAGGATGAACCACGCGCACACCCGTCCTTGTCCTCTAACTGCACATGTGTATTCCGAAGGCGTTTGTTTAAGCTGATGAACAGTATCAGTCACATGGGATTAGTTTCACAGAGTGAACCCGTCCCACCGCCTCTCTGCTCATTTCCAACTCACTGGACATCTTTGGGATGCGGATGGGACCGCTGCTGGTGCCTTCGCCCCCGTCCGTCAGAGCTTTGATCTCAATGAGGTAGTCCTCGCCGGAGGGGATTTGCAGCTCCACGCTGGTCTTGTTGGTTTCCAGTGAGGTGGTCCTGCCGGGCCAGTTCTGCCGATACAGGACCTGGAGGAGAGCGAGGTTCCCGCTGTGAGTTTTCATTCGCCAGTCTCAATATATTAAATGAAGCTGTGAAAACCAAATCAAATTCCTTCAAGTGGGAGAGCAGACGTTGGCAATAGGATCCCTCTCTGGGGAAGGCGATTCATTCAAAATGCCTCGTGGAGGTGCAGGTTTGTGCTGAGCTCAAAAGTGGAGGAACACATTTTCACACTCAACCTCAAACTCCAACCTTTCTCACACACTCACTCGCGTATGGCAATTTTTTACAAATGTTTGAACTTTTGATTCACAGGGTTCAGGTGATGAACCCATTCGTGACTGGGCGCTCGCTTACAACAGGGACTCACAAAAGACTCGTCATTAAACAAACAAGGCCGCTTGTCTCTGGAGAATACATTTTATATACATATTATATTTGTAGGAAGCATTACCAAATACAGAAAGGGGCTCTCCACACAAGTATGCAAAGTAGATCCAATATGAGCCACTGTTGTACTGGTTGAAAGAACGTGAAGAAATGATGCCTTTTTACATTTTATCTCCCGGAACCGATCTTTTAATGTTTGAAGCACTGGAGCGCTGCACTCTCTCTCCCCGCTGTGCTCAGAGAGACATTTATTGGGCTGCTGAGGCTCTTATTGGTTGTGAGTTTTTGCGATTTGCTCTCTGACAGACTCACCTTGTATCCTGTCACCTCAGACTCGTTTTCCGTTGCCTTGACGTGTTCCCAATTCAGGAAGATCTTCGAGTTGGTCAGGTTCCACTCGATGTTCGCTGGAGGCTGCCTCGGAGCTGCAGGACGTTCACAAAGCAGTGGGGTTTTTTCTTTTCTTTAATAAATTCTGGTCACATGTAGAACACAGTAGACCACCAAGGCAGGATGCTTCGGGCTGTGGTTACTTTGTGATCTACAGGTAGATGTGGGCTACCAGAGCCGTGTCAGGCGTCTCTACATCAGTTCCACTCTTTAAATATGTTCACCTGCTGCATTAAGCCAAGATGGCAACAGACAAAACCACAAAGTCCAGGCTCCAAAAAGACTTTGTCACAAAGCTATGTCCACAACTTCTATACAAAGCCTGTACTTGGTATTCACTATGAACAAACGGGTAAGAATGCTTCCGGTAGGTGATCTGTAAATACGAACTGACATTTTGGAGTCGGAGATCTCGTTTGGGACAAAGGATTCACACTTAAAAATGAGTCAAATCAGTCTGATCAGAATTTCAGCAGCACATTCTCGCCATCATATTACCCAGAGTGCAGAGGGTCGGACTCTATGGTAACAAACCAGCTGACCATGTGCTATTGTAGAGATCCAGCATCTCATCAAATAGCATTAGCGGCACGTCTTCACCGGCAGCACGTATGGATTGTGTAAATTAGCATCGTGTGTAAATAAAACTGCCAGCTCTGGCGCTCTGGTTCCACTCGTCTATGAGTCATTGCGAGGTGTGAAGCAATCAGTCCCGTGTTCTAAATATACACAGCGGGGATCCTCCAGCGGAATGCCGCTCGATGGTTGTTGCCGTGATTCCCCGCGAGGACCCATTGATCAGCCAGAACGTTGACCATCGGGGGTGTGGAGGGGGGGTAGGATGAGGATCCACATGTCCAAGTGGAAAGTGAGTTACAACCTGCTGTTCAATTATATTTCCCTGATTTTATTTAGGGGCCCGTACGCCTTTTTGCTTCTTTTCATTTTGATAAATGACACCCCTTGGAGTTGAAGCAGGTTGAATATGAACAACTCTGCATTTTAAGACTAGATACAGTATGTCAGTATGTCCTGGATGACACTGGAGAGAATTAGAGAAGTTCTTCATTTATATGTGTGACGACACATTAAGGAGTAAATTAAAAGTACACCCTGAAGCAGCGACTATTACTTCTGCTCCTCCGGCTGTTACTAGTATCAATAATACTAATCATAGTAATCAACGCATCTCTCAAACCATTTCATATGTACAACTTCTTAGATTATTTGACTTTCATTTAAAAGAATATGTTTTTATACCCAGCACCTGGGATTTAAGATTTTAAGTCTAAATTCAAGAATAAAAGGAAGAGACCTAATTAAGAAAAGTCTTTGGACTTGACCTGAGTGGTTTCTGCAGAACTGGCCTCACAACCCGTAGAGACGGGAGAGAGTCTTAACCAATGACTCTTGTGTGTGGACTCACGTGGTTTCTTGGTTGTGTAGTTGAAAGCAGGGCTGCAGGGTCCGAGTCCAGCGCTGTTCTGGGCTCTGACTGAGATCACATAGGCCGTGCTGCCCTTTAAGCCAGACAGCAGAGCCGTGGTGCCGACAACCCTCAAGCTCTCGGCCTCACTCTGTTCAGATCCTTCCTCCCAGAAGAGGACCTGCACCAAAGACACAAGGGTCACCGCTCGGCCGTATTGTTCGGCATGGTCCATAGTTCCATTACCCATCCACAAACCGGTACAAATGAGCACAGCGGTGAGTCGGTGAAGTCCAATCCTTATTTATTTGGCCAAAGTCTCACATTGTGCTTGTAAAGTAAATGAAAAGGCTCATCCAGGTACTGAAGATGTAATTCCAAGTTAAAAACCAGATCTCCAAACTACTGTTTCTCCTCAAGCATTCTAACCCACATGTTGGAAAACTACCAAGTGATTCTGTGTCTGACAATCAGCAGCATGCAGCACTGGGAGGGAGACGTAGTAGAAGTAGCTCATCAGGTTCTGCATTCATAGAGGGATCATTTATGACCCTGAACACGAGACGGGGAACAGCAGACAGGAACATGTCAAACAGATGGTTTTGAGAGGAGCTACTTATTCAATTGGCTGCACACAGGTTTTCAGGGACCTCGCTGGTGGGAAGGCAGATTAGCGACGGGGCCTGCAGTAGCTGATAACAGATGCATCTAGGATGGTTTTTATTTTCAACACCAGCAGTTTAATTATAGCAATTTTACCAGCGCTTTGGAAAACGTCTAAACATTTTTTAACATTGCATCTGCTGCACACCTAAGCCCATAAACGAGGGGGTCTGAGGAGGCTTAGGCTGTCTTGCAGCAAAGTGCATCATATCAACGAAGTCATTTACATTGAGTTTTTATAGAGACAGCTGAACTGTTTGCATTAGTTTGATAACCGGACATCTCCAGAAGAAATGGCAAATGAAAATGGGTCAGACCTTTTTTAGTTCATTCTCGATGACTGAGGGTCCTTATCAACGGGTGTGGACCAAAATGCCTTTGGAGGCCATCCGTCTGAACGAGTATCAGCGTTTTATGGCATGAGAATTTTTACCCGCTCTACTAAATTATTAGAAAAAGTTGCGGCCATCGTAGTCATTTTCATCGTATCCGACGCGCCCAAATTGGATCAGATCTGACCAAAGAGGAGAGCGGCCCCAACACATGTACCAGAGGAACAAGCTCACAGATTCATCTGGTTCCCAGGCGAGGGCCCTGAAGCCGGAGAGAGGGGCCCCCATGTCCCCGGCATCTACAACAGATCTTTTGTTGAAGAAGCCCTGTGTCCAAATATGGTATGACAAGCTGTCTGTCTGCTGCGACAGATCTGATAGACTTGGATGGGGCAAGTGAGGGGGGCCCTTTTGCCCCGGGGCCCCGCCTACAGGTTAATTCCGCCGTGCCCACAGACTCTTTTACAGGCGTATAGTTTTGAAGAAGTGTTCAATTTCTCAGTCTGTTCTTACTTGGAGTTGTATTTAGTTGTGCGCCTGCTATTTTCCTTCACGTAGGGCCGTTAAATCACAGCATCTCGCCATGAGTGCTAAATGTGGTCTGTGCAATCAAACAAAACCTCAGAGCTCTAGTTGAAAGCCTCCTTAAAATATTCACACTCGCATGAATCGCTTTTCAAGTTTTCTAATTAGCAGTGCAATGGCTTGCTTTGCAATAGCATGATTTTTTTTAGCAGACTTCCGCGGTGTTACGTTTTCCTGTTATGCTACATTATGTTTACACAGGACATAATGTAGCTTTTTTTTAAACTTGCGGCAACCTGTTGAACGGCAGTCGATGCCACTCTCTCCCAGTGGTTTTCACTGAGGTAAGCAGAATATCTCGTTGGGTCATTACAGCTGACAGTTGTGTATAGACCAGTTTATTTTATTTTCCTTTTTATCTTAATGTAATTTTTTTCCCCAATTTTATTTAGAAGGGCAGTTGTCCTGTTTTCTTTTTTTTTTTCAACAGTACATTACAATTATGTACAATTCTTGTACATTGCAAGAACACTTGCCCTAAAACAAAAGGGCCAGCTACCAATGCCTAAACTGGGTTTGCTGCCCATCACTCACGGAGGGCCCTTTTTTGGCTTGTTAACCCTGTTGTGACAGATAGGCAGATGAGTAAAGCTAAGGGCCTCTGATGAGATACATTTTGTCCGAGCATTGTTTTCCAGCATGGTGCATGCACAGGACATCACGAATGAGCTATGCTCTCCAGTGTCCCGTCTTGTCTGCTGGGGCCTCTAATGAGGCTGTGGTCATCCTATGCTGGGACATTTACAGAGCGACAAACAAAAGCATCTATTCCAGCAATTTTCTGGAACTCGGGAAAACCAGTTGTACTTTTCTCAAATGCTCCCCAAGAAGTGGAGCAAAGTGCACAAAGAATGTTCTGCTTTTTTACAATCAAATGGAATTACTCCAATCAAGCTTCGTATTAACACCAATAACCTTAAATGTTTTCTATGATTCACAGTGTTCCTATGATTTAGAAATGCCAGCATGGCAATGGCTGAGCCATCAGCCAACAGTGCTGACATGACTGGGACTGGGAGAGTGGGCACTACTCTTGATTCCTCCGAGACGCCCAGGCCGCAGGAGCACCTTCACTGTGCCTTTCATGGAATAAGCTGCATGCACGACAGGTAACACTTTTAACATTTTGTTGATCACGTCAGAGCCACTGCAGTCTTCTTTCGTGAAGACGTGCTAAAAAATAACAGCATGCCTTAAGAAAAGACAATCTTCAGATGAGAAAAATGACGTCTGGGCATAAATAGGTCAAATCCATCATTTTGTTCGGGGTCACAGTAAAAAGCAGTGGGCTACGGTTAAGTAGTGAAGGTCAAACATGTGGCTTTACCCGACCAGTCATTTGATAGACTTAGTCATGAGTTAGTCAACGGATAGAAATGCAAGCGGGAAAAGCTCTCGTCAACTGTTCTCATCTAAATACCTCATGTTCTCAAAGTAAATCCCTAACCAAATATGATGTAAGTCACTTCCTAAAAGCAGACCTGCTTATCTGGAATGTAATATTTGAAAATGACTGCAAATGCTCTATAACTTTAACTATAACGCGTTGCTAAACACAAGTCATTGTAGCCGTAATCTCTGTGGCTTTTGCACCCAGCTTCTGCAATTTAAATGGTCCACTGAATCATGATCTGAGCGGTAGTTTAAAGTTGAAATTATAATATGTCATAAAAACCCAGTGGACTTGTTTAAAAAAAGTGTCGTTCAATAATTTAAATGAATATTCACTTCGGGCGGCGGAGGTGTGATGGTGACATCACGACCTAACGGGAGCCCTGACAGCGCGTTAGGAATAGAGACTTTCTGAATATGAAGTGTGAGACGTGGAAGTTTTACTTCCTAGAATTTGGGCATTTTTTGTGGCGCACAAAGTAGAAAAGGGTGGCTCATTAACTGCTGGGTTGGCAGTTTGAATCCTGTTTGCTAAATGCTCCATGTCCAGGTGTCGCTGAGCGAGACGCCCTCAGTTGCTTCCCGCGCGCCATTACGGCAACACACTGCTCCCACTGTGTGGGGTAAATGCAGAGAATAACTTCATAAAGGAGACGTTCTGCTTTAATAACAGGAAGCCAACACTGAGCTGGATAGAAGTATCCAAATAATGTTGTTTACCACATCAAAAGGTAGTACAACTGCATTCATGTTGTGAAGGAGACGTGTATTTAAACTTGGAGACCTTTTTCAGTGTGAATGTAACCGAAAAAAACTAGTAAACTACTCGTTCTCGCTCCCATACAAGCTGTTATTGTGCATCAAACGCTTGTCTTATAACAATGTGACCTCAAAGCTTCTCAGTAGAGATCGAGCCCCCTGGGATTAACCCACCACAACAAACACCTAGGCATTTATTTCTATCTCTCCACAGCCAAATCCCAGGACAGTGTTTGTTGTGCAGGATAGTGTTGTATGATGTCCACACTATTATTGTGAGAAGAGGCTCCCAGACAGCCTTTGTATTGAGGTCTTGTGGAGTACGAGCGCAGCAGCCAGTGGACCTCTTCATGCCCGGGATTAGCCTGCAAAAGATGTCACGCTCCAATAACGTCCGTATTTAAATGTCACAAAGTTTCCACGTTGTCGCCACCGGAGGTTCTTCTCAAATGAACCCCGGCTTATTGTCCTGCCAGTCGCTCTGGGATTAGTGTCTGCTGCTCACACTATTCTTTCTCATACCTGGTACGCGAGGACCTTCCCGCTGCCCGACTCGCTGGGAACTGGTTCCCAGTACACTTCGATCACAGAGGCTGACAGAGCGCGGGCCCGAACTCTCGACGGCGCCTCGGAGGGTTCTAAATAGGAGAGATAATGAATTACGCATGTTAGCAATTAGAGGAGCATTTATTGAACACAATCAGCGTTATATCTGTTGCTAGCGTGACCACACACACACCTTCCTCTGCGGAGAGCACTGTGACGGCGAGGCTGAACGGACCCTCTCCCATGCTGTTGTAAACTCCCACTTTCACCTCGAACTGGGACAGGGGTGCGATGCTCTCGTTCCTGTAAGTATATCGCGACGCATCCGGGGACGCCAGCACCGTCTGGATCCACGTGCTGCTGCCAAGTGGACGGAAAGCCACGACGTAGCCGAAGCCTTCGGCGCTCTGCTGCTCCTCTGGAACGGGCTGAGACGGGAGCACGGGAGGGTTTTGCCTTTGACCCCAAACAACTGAGCAGAATATATTGCAGTGGATATTTTCTACGTATGCAGCTCGTTGAGCGACGTTCAGGAGCCAATCCCAGAAGCTCGCCTTTCATTAAAAGCCGCGTTCCCTTGGCCGGGGGTCCGCTGGCGCGTCCAAAAGACCTTCACAAATGCATGACCACTCGATCCTCTTACCTCCCACGTGATGACGAGTTCCCCCCGAGCTCCTCCGCCGCCGCTCACATTAACCGGCGCCACCTTGGGAACTGAAGCGGGCACAAAGAGACCTCGTCTCAGGCCGGTGCAGAGCGACCGGGTCAACCACACAGCCGACGGAACAGTTCTTGTGTTGACATTGGGACCCCCCCTCCTCCCCCCCTGCGCTCACGCCGGCGTTAATAGCCGAGCGCCGTATGTCGGCCCCGTGTGTGAGGCGCCACGGGGGGGAAACTTGTCCCCGTGTGATCCAACCAGCAGGGGGGGAATTACTAACCAGCCTAAAATAGACCCATCACGCAGACGCCTCGCCTGCCAGTAGGTCACTTCATGCAACTGTGATTTAATCACGTAGCACTTCTAGTGCTTGAATCTCTGAAAAGTCTCATTCATTTCTACGTCTTTAGCATGCAAATTAGTAATCAAAGCGTTGGCACGAAAACGATGGGCAGATTCCACGAAGTCGCAGGGAGTGCTTTGGGAAACACTTAAATCACATTCTCCAAGTGGGGCTGATTAATTTCTTATGAAGAGAGACAACAAACTGAGAGGATACCTGCTGCTTGGGTTTGAATGTGTTTTGATGGCGTGCCCGGCTCTCCCACGCCAACGCCGTTGATTGCCACCACCCTGAATTCGTAATCCACCCAGGGGTTCAAGTCTTTCACTGTTGCATGAATCATCTGTCCAGGCACAGAATCAGGAACTAGGATTAAAGAATTTAGAATTGAGATGTGGTTCTTTCTTTTTTCAGGCACATTTAAAAATACATTTTCCAACAAATGTGAAAAAAAACAACTAAACATTTAAGTAGTCGAGTACGTCAAAACAAAACCTTTGTTTTAATATAATAGTAGACCTACTATTATTGTTAATATTGCACAGCCATGTCATCATGCTAGTCACACACATTCAATGAACAAACAGAATTAATAAGCTGCCTGAGGAGGTCGCTTGAACTGACTTGACTGACTATAAACATCCTCCAGCGATCAACTCGCTGCGGTTCAAACTAACTTTAAATAAAGCGCTGTTACAGGTTACAGATGGATAAAGAAATCGTTGTAGGAGAGAGGGGAAAAGGTTTGTTTCAACTCCTCATTACCAAGTAAATGTTGATGTCTGTGGAGTAATGACGCGGTCTGTGTTCACTGTGCAGCTCATTGTGGCCCCGGTTCTGACCTCCTGGGATAACCGGGCCTCCACGGCACGGCTGGAGTGTGTAAACTATTGAGCGCCCAGAGAGGACGGCACTTTTGGTCTTGGCGGCGGTGAACAAACGGAGTGATTTTAAATGGCCATATTAATGTCTTAATGTCTAATGAATTGGTGGCAACTCTCAGTCCACCCCGTTGACGGAGGAGGCAAAACAACAACAACTTGGGATGGAAAGCTCATTCTTAACTAAACCTTCCCTCGTATCAAAGCCACCAGGCCTTTCATTCCGCTCTGATCGTAGCACCGTGTGGCTGTTAGTTACTCGGCCCCCCGTCAACAATAGCACTTGGAAACGCTGCAGGGGGACGGATGTTGAATACTTGTTTGTTGCCAATTTAAAGACTTGGTTCTGAAAAATAGTCTGATTCGTTAGAAGAAGATTGGAGTACGAAATGAGAAGCAGGCTGATGTCTCCATATATTCTCCATTTGATACAAGCGATAACGGCCTCAAAGGAAGTTATAGAGCAACGAACGCAGCCTGAATAAGCTGTAATACTGCAACATTTCACCTCTTGTTAACAGAGTAGACATTGTGTTTCTGTAACTTTTCATCCCCTGTAACATTAAAGAAAACCTTTTTTAGAGCTGCCGCAGAGGACTGGGCGAGTTGGTCAACGTGATTGCGTCTGTTGTGACTCGTGACTGTCGGCCTCTGCTTTGGTAGTAACTGCTGCTTTTTTTCACTCACCTGTTCTCACAGTCTGCCAGCCGATGGAGAAGGGGGTCCTGGCCTGGACCACGTACACGGTAACGGGACTGTGATTGTCTGCTCCGGCGCCCCAGGAAAGTTGCACGGTGGTGTCGGTGATGTCGCTCACGGCCAGGCCCTCCGGGGCGCCGGGGGGTCCTGCAACAGCACAAAGCGAGGAGCGGCACCGGCATCAGCCCCGCCGCGCCAACAGCAGCCAAATCAAAAGGCGTTGACGGCTCCGCCAACAGGAGATGCAACGGGTGCTATTGGGAGCGTCCGCCTGATGGATTGGCTGAGGTTAGACCGTCCACTGTACCAGTACAAAAATAAACACCAGAAACTGTGGAAGAAGTTGTGTTCCTGTTTCACGTGTGCCTTCATCCACAAAGAGGCAGAGAAAAAGTCTCCTCATCCCAGGCTGACTAGGCGGGTTAAGAGGAATGATTATTTCACGATATGGACGCTGTTAATGACGATGGATTTAAAGGAAGCAAGGCAGGACTCTTCAATAGGGAAAGCATCAACCGGAGATCAGACAAACCCGCCGGCGGATTACGACCTGCTGCTGGAAGAAGATCACTGGGTATCAGCGATGCTCGGTTTCACATGCTGCGTGCGATCCGTATGTAAAACCCGCCGCCGTCTGTCTGGCTTGGGCCGCCGACTCTGGATCTCACGCTTGAATAATCTCCCAGACAACAGTGTCACCCCCCCCACTGCATTTGTATATCCATTTCAGTCATGGATGACGAGCGGTGGCTGGAACAGTTACAGTAAAAAAGGGATCAGGCCAATAGAGCGACTGGCGCAGAAAATGAGTTAATCAGCCGATATGTCGATCTACTGTCTATACTGTGTGTTCCAGGCGCTTTTGGAGAATACTGTAGTGCAGCCTTATGAATAAAGACAGCAGCAGTGTTTGCACACAGAACCTCTCAGGTTCAGCCCTCGTCTGTGTTGAAATATTTGATCGGCCATTTAAATCCTACTGGGATTTGTGATCGTTTAAGTAAAGGTCTCCAACTTTTACGTACGTTCAAGGTGAATCTTTGGCAGCTGTGTGAAGGATGACATCACACTCACTGCCACTACGATGCCCATGTGTGAGAGCAAAAATACTTAAGATATGTGTGTTTTTACTCTTGCACAAAGCTGCGCTGAAGCTTTCTGTGTAACTTACCTGCATCTCCTTTAACTTGATGATCATAGAGCCCGTGGTTTGAAAACCGCATGAATTAATTCACTAACGCTCACGCTTGTCAATCTGAAAGTCTATTAAAGCCGGTTTTCCCTCCGTATCCCTCCACCCGACGTGGTGGTGCCGCTGCTCTCGTCTGACAGCAGCGAGATGTGTTCATCACGATGAACGACACACAAACGCTCCACAACAAAAGGCAGAAACTGAAAACCTCCATCGAGTGACAAGCCAGCAGATGTGTACCTCTGACAATTAAGTCGGCTGCTGCTGAGACGGTGTCGACTTCGGTGTGCACCACACACACGTACTTCCCAGAATGCTTCAGCTGAATGTTCCTCACCATCAGGTCACCTGCGAATCCCTGACGACAAAGACACACCGGTGTAAAAGTCTTGCAGGGGAAGAAAAACAGCAAAGTCAAAGAGAAGTTTGGAAAATTATTGTTCAGTCACACGCAATAAATTGTCCACAAGAAAACCGTTGGAGGAATTCACCACAGGACAACAAGAAAAGAGGAGAAAAGCTTTTGTGTTTTCTTGTGTTCATCTTTTCCCCTTTCAGCTCAGAGATGTTAGTGCTTCTTATTGCATTTCACTGCTGTGCGCCCCCACGCGCCCTTATGTTCCAAACGCCTCTTTTTCTCCAGCAAAATACAGCCGGCCCAGAACTATTGGATGCTTTTATGTGGTAAACAAAGGCCAGAGGAACAGCTGTTGTAATTATGTTGGCTGTGACGATGTCAGTGCTTCAGTGGACGCCGTCGCAGGGAGCACGAGTAGCGTCACCACCGACGTTTAGCGCTCATCTGTTCGTGGAGGAATTGCTTGTTTTGCTCGTGAAGTGACATCACCTTCTGGGGATGGAGAAATGCAATCGCTGTTGACGCGTTTCCGCCCTTCAGACACACAGTAACACACGCTTCATGTCGTAGTTCCTATCCACAGCGATCCCAGCGCACTGTATATTCACGTTATTTCACCTTTGTTCACTTCACACACAACCGTAACCTCGGCAGATTACGGTTGTGTGTAACGATTCAGCAGCCTGGAGCTTTGGAGCTGCTGTTTGCACCGGTTGTGTGTGTGTGTGTGTGTGTGCGTGCTAAGCTTCCCGCCTGCCATCTTCAGCCACAAGCAGACATGATTCTATCTTTTTATCTCTTCAAAGCAAAGCATCCCAGAATGTTGCTTTAACTTGTGTCTCGTTTGTTGAATCCTTTAACTTACAGCCGTGTGCACCTCCGTGGTTTATTTAATCCCTGTGTGCATCCGGTCTCGATGTATTACCGTGGCGTGTTCCCGCCTTTGATCCATTGGCTATTCTCTTTGCTCTTAATTGTCGTCTTCGGTTTTGTTACAATGGAAAGCGCACAATAAAATGAGCAGTTACTTTTAATGACGGATCATTAGTCAAATCCCGACTGTCTTGGCTACAACAGGAAGAACCTGCAGTCAGCCATATGATACGTACCCCCCCGATCATCTCAAAGTGCTCCTGCCTGCTGAAATCGATGGCTTTCCCGTTGAAGAACCACTTGAAGATGGGAACCAGGGAGGAATCGCTGGACACCTCGCAGGGCAGCACGATGCTCTGGCCCACGGCGGCGTCCACACTCAAGGGCGGGACGACAATCCTAGTTGGCTCTACAGCATCGGGGGAAGAGGGGGGGGGGGTTCATCGACATCGTATACAAGCCGGCATCTATAAAATCCGACGAAATGAAGAAAGCAATAAAGCTCAATTCGCCCAGAACAGATTCTGCTCGTTTGGTGTAATTAAGTGACCTCGAATAACTTCTCTTAGGAAGCGAATGGCTCTCTTAACTCAGTAATGAATAATTAAACACTGCAATCACAATGACAACCAGGGAGGGTGTTGGTGGGGGGGGGGGCTCCCCCTCTATGATCATCATTATGTAAAAACCCAAATCTGAAAGTGCCACAGCGGCTCTTTTTTAAATTAAATGTCAGTGTCAAAATATTCCTCAGTCACCGCTCCAGACGGCGGCGGTTTGCCCCACTCCGCTACGTGCACAATAACTCACAGCTGACAAAACCACGGATGACTTATACGTCTGTCAAAGCGGCGGGAACATAAAGCGGCTATATATTTCATTAGCAATTTCATGCTTGAGTTCGTGTTTCTATCCTCTGTAAAAACGCGGCTTAAAAAGCTACAGTGGTGAAAGTGTGAGAAACAACGAGGGAGAAAAGGACCCACCTTTAACCAGCAGCGTCCCCGTGCTGCTGGATGTTCCAAAGGAGTTTCTGGCCAAACACGTGTACCTGCCTGCGTCCGACGCCGAGATGTTGGTGATGCGCAGCGTCCCGTCGTCCGTGATTATCCGTCTGACGAGAGGGGGAATAAAGCAGCACGTCTCTCAATGCAAAGTGATGATAAGCATCCAATTAGAAGTCGCTTTCTGGCACGAGGTGCGGTGTCATTTCTCGTTTGACGTCCCCCCCCCATTACATTTTTTCAATGAGGGCTTCAGAATCTACTCCAGAAGTCCATCGACGCGCCTCAGAAGAGAACAATTAGCTCAAGCAGCAGCTGAAATGCACATATTGAAATGGACACATTGTGAAAGGATTTGTATCAGCTTGCGAGTCAATTTATGAACTCAATATTTTGTTGTTGTTGCAAGTTCCTCTTGTGTGAAAGCAGCCAACTAAAGGAGACCTGCCGTACGCCTCTTTTCCACCAGTTTGCGTCTGGTCTGTATGAACATCCCTGTATTCACCATCTGTCTGAAACGTTGGACCCCCCCCCCCCCAAACCAGACCAATGTTAGCGCGAGTCCAGCGTTATGCTGGCCCAGGTTGAGAGAACAGTCTCAGAATGATTTGCACAAACCTGACAGACTCCCGCTTGGTGTGATGACGTCGGCAAGCCCAAACAGGCTGCTTTAAATAGTATTCATCCACTGCAAGTTGTTTGGTGCCAGACAGACACATAAACGTGACCAAAGCAGGATTTTCATAATACGTCCCCTTTAAATTAGATTTTCTAAAAAATGTGACCAACAACTTAACCTCTATATCATCATAATTCGTTTTTTTTAGTGCTCACACAGTTTGGTGTCTTTTTTTTTTTTCCTACCGAGCCAAACCATGAAATGAGACAACAGGACTTTAAAAAAGTAAGTGGAAATGTTTCACACTGCGGCCCGGGAAGCCTATTTCTGGCGCCTGGGCTCTGCCCCGACAAGTTGTAAAGCATGTAAACATATTCATGCATATTCATTCACAGGCCGATAATGTGCTCCTGTTGTGACCTTTTGGATCGAGTAAAGCAAAGCGGAATGCTGCGAGCAGCAAGCGGCGAAATCAAACAGTTTCTCACGGAATAAATATGTATTCACTGGAGGCCGCGCTGAGACCCAGAGAGCACGTCTGACACTGGGTGCTTTTGTGCTGATTTATTGACAAAAATATCAAGCGCTGAGTGATGGAGGCGCGCTGAGAACATGACCCGGGGGGGCAATGATCTGCGAGACAAATAGAGGCGTGAATAACTATCTGCTTTGTGAACAAACTTAGTTTATGTTGGGAATTTCTAGTCTTTAAAAAAAAAAAAACTGCCTGGTTTGATTTTTTGATTCCTTCATGATCAGCGTATAGAATAAGATGATATTTGATCCATCCTGCTGGTCGCATGTTGCAGCAGGTCCAAGCTACACAGGCTTCATGTACCAACAGATCAACGAATAACTAAATCTCTAAATGGATTAATTGCAGCCGGAGGGTAAAAGTAGATGTAAAAGGGGAAACGCACTGTACACCTTGTACAACCGCGGCAGCATGCAAATTAAAAACCACCAATGAGATTCAGAGTCAGGAATTGCCAAAAAGTGTCACGTGGGTACTTCTGTTCCTCCGCCTGCCTCCTGATCGATGGGCTGTCAAACCGCTGCAGCGACAGTGCTGCTGTGAACCGGAGTTGGGACGTGTAATTGGACATGTGTTGGTGGCTACATCAGCGGCGGTGTTCATAAAAGGAGCAGACAACTCCTGCGTTCGTGACGTTTGTACTGTTACGGTGTCTGGGTGAAGCCGGGCGGATCTTAAAGACTTTGGCTGGTGGATCGAGGCTGATTTGATCTTTAGTCACAGCAGGTTCAATGTGTTTTAATTTGATGTTAAAGAAATATGTACAAACTTTGATCGTCGTACGTTAAAAGAGAAATCAATGAGTTCACATTGGTCACAGTGGACAGATGAATTAAAACGACCAGTTTTAATGGCTCCTTAAGTCCACGTTCATCTTTTGATGGCATCCAGCTGGCTTTTCAAGAGTGGCTCCTCTAAAAGGGTCTCGAGGAGATGTTCTAGCATCCAGCCAGCTGAGGATCCATAAACAGTTTATGGAAATGAAGAAACGTAAGTGTTGCACTGCGGTCTAAAGCCAGTTTGTCCTAGTATTAAGTGGTACAAGTAGTACTAAGAGTACACGCTTGTTCACTTTTCTTTGACTTTTCTTTTTGTCCTTGAGAGTCTGTAAGAAAACCTCTTGTCTTCCACTAAATGATGTCAGCTGTCTGAAGCCACCGTTTGGAATCACGGCTGATGACTTTGCACATTTCACACAGTGTCGATGGAGCCGCCATTCACAGTCCTATTAATACACATGCAAACTAGCACATCCTAGAAAATGTAAACTCATTTGATTTCCTTCACTGAAGGCCAATTGAATTGTATCAACTGAAAAACACAATTAAACCTTTTTGTTAAACTAATAAAAATAAATAAATATTACTTTCCATCCAGGCTGTTAGAGAACAAATTGCTGCTATTAAGTTAATTAAATGGTTTGACTGACAAGGCCTTCTGATGGTGAAGACACGGACCCTTCTTCCCTCACAGAATAACCTCAATGCTTGTTCGGCTACAGAGCTCACGTCAGTAGGGAGGTTTCCATCCGGAGCATCTCTACGAGGGTTTTCTGGACCTTTCCAGTGCTCACGTTTTCCTCCTCTACTCTTTCAGCTCTCCTGCTGTGCTCTTCTCATTGTGCGTATTCGTCTCCTGTTTATTTTAGCTCGTGGCGTTGCCTCAGACACCATGACGGGGTGGGGGCCTTTCATGCGGCCCGGGGTGCCGTTCTGCTCAAGGATGTACACAGTTGTTTTTCTCTAAACTCTGCAGGGTCTCTGTTCTACATCCAGCACTGACTGTCTCGAAGAGCTCTAAAGCTGTGGGGGTAAAAAAAAGAAAGATCCACAATTTTTAAAACCATATTCTTTGTGTGCCTCAGCAACATGGGAGTGAGTTGGAGGTCGTGGCCTCATTCCTACATGTAGAAACAAAAAAAGGAACAACGAAATGAGCGCTCCGAATGACCACGGGGCAGCGCGGTGTGCACCCTACCTCTCGCTGTCCTTCAGCGGTTCGCCGCCTCTCCACCAGGAGACGGTGGCCCTGGGGGAGGCGTGGGGGCGGCACTCCAACGCCGCCTCGCCCCCCCTCTGGATCACGGTGGACGTCTTCACGGGCCGCCGGGCGAAGTTTGGCGGCGACGCTGTGGAGGAAACCCGCGTTCATGCCCATTAGTTTGGCATCAGCAGAAATGTCAAGTGCATCAACAGCAATTACTGCAATTTGTATTTTGTCGCCACGCTGGCTTATTGTAGGAGGGAATTATGGAAATGGGGGACGTGGGGGCTGTGGCTCAGCGGGGAGCCGGTTCTGCCTCTTCTCGTTTATTCATTTCTGACATCCCAACGTACACGCAGTGTATCTCTCCCGTGCCTGAATAATACAGGGCGGACAAACGGCTTACCGACAACCTTGAGCTCAGCGCTCGCGTACACGGCGCCGTGTTCGCTCTCGGCCACGCACTGATACATCCCCGAGTCCGACAGGCTGATCCTGGATATGGTCAGCCTGCTCGCCTCCACGTGGATCCTGCCCTGCAAATCAGGCCGGCTGATTAATGTTTGCCGACATCTTTCGCCGTTTTATGTCAATTTTCTCCCCCTTTCGCGAGATGAGTGGAAGCCCCTTGGATCATCTTTGGCCTTAGAGGCGCTCAGCTGAATTCCCTCTCAAGGCGTATTATTTGTGTGTGTGTGTAAAATGATCCTCACATCTACTAACAGAACCTCCAGCTTGACTCGCGGCGTCTTACCTCCGGCGCCAGCGGCTGGCCGTTCTTCAGCCACTTGTAGGTGGGCCTGGGTTTACCCACGGCTTTACACTCCCACTGCAGATTAGCATCGATGGCCATGTGAGCATCCTTTAGGGTCTGGACCCAGTGCAGATGTTCAGCATCTGTGGAAAATACAGATGAATATCATACAATTATTGGCAAATATTGACAAAAAATACAATTACAGATGACAGTGACATAATGCAACCCAGTTATTTAGCTGCACAGTACATGAACAGTTTTTTTGGTTTATGTTTTCCCAAAATGGACAGTTCTTCCATGTAGAGCTTGTTTGCTCTAAATGTGCAGTAAATTGCTCCCTTATTCTCACTGCTAGAGAGGTTTTCAGGTCAGATCTACAAATATAAAACATGTTTCATCCAATTTGCTCCTGCGATCTGTGTGTATTTAGGTCCTGGGTTCACCGGGGCAGCAGCTCCACACGCAGCCGGTTCCCAGCACTGGTCTGCAGGTGCAGTTCACAGATTGGAGATCACCAAGCGGAAAAATGTGTTGTACTAAAATGAAATGAAAACTTTCAAAAAGTATTGTATTCGCATTGCAGTCCGACTCTGTTATATACTCATTATATTGTAAAGACTGCTTGATTTGCCAGCCCGTGCGTGATATTAAAGCACCAGGGTCAGAAAAAAAGAAAACACAGTTCACACACCTGAAGTCACAGGCGAGGAAGCCGAGTGAAAGAGAGCTTGCGTCTTGTTTGCCTCTGTGAGATTCTTTTTCCCACCACAAACTCCTCTTTTTCAATACTCTATTTACTTTAACTTATTACCCCTTCAGAGGATTTCCCGATCCATAACCTGAATGCACAATAAACTGCAGGTGACTCCCTCTGGCCTTTGAATGATCTCAGCTCGGACGCACAGGGAGCAAAGTTTGGTCAAAACTCGGTGTGGTGATGTCGTGTCTCAGCCTGCGCCGCTCACTGCTTCCCGTCCAATGAGCAGCTTGAAAGGCCGGAACGGAGTCGTGGCCCACGACCGGATTGCTTACCTGCTTTAAGATGCAGATGTTTGTTTAGAGTATTAAAAAGCTAAAACGCCGGGCGATAGCCGATAGGTTCAAAGACGGCGTTGTGGTGAATGCGTTCCGCCGCTTTTGTTCTCTCCAAAGTGAATACATGCACGCAGCCAAAGCCTGCTCATATGTGATCCTGTTCACAAGGTTTGATTAGCAGATATCTGTCGAATTTAAGCACGGGAACCGGTCAGGCTTATTAAGAACAAGCTGTCATACATTATCAGTGAGTATGTGATGGGCTGATAACAATAATGCCTAATCGTCCTATACAAACCATTTTTGTATAGTTTAAATAGTTAAATAGTTTATTATCCTTTTTGGTTTGTCATCTGCATGGCTATGCACATGCATGTAATATTACTGGAATTGCAATGATAACCTTTGTAATACGTCTTTCGATTAAAACAAACAAAGAATTGCAGTAATTATTTTTCTATCGACCCCCAGGAAGAGGAGCCGTTGCCCCGGTAACAGCTGCAGGGATCCAAATAAATACACCAAGAATCAATCTTTGCCATAATCACCGTCTGAGAGAGAAACTTTGACGGCCACATTGAATCGATAATCAGGTTTGCATACTATCGTAGAGCGATGGAGCTTTGATCTCCAGCAGTTGGGACTCAAAAAACCGATTCATTTCATTCAGAAAGCAGCCGCTGAGGCCTGACAACTCTCTGAGTCATGAAATAGAGTTTGAATCACTGTTGCTTGTCTATAGATGGCTCGGTTGTTTTTGGACCCACATCCGTCTCTTCTGTGTGAAGCAGCATTTAGTCACTTGGAACAAGAGAACAAACCTACAGGCCAAAGGTTTGGTCCGAATTTAAAACACTAAACCCAGGTTGATTTCATGTTTACGGTGTGACAATGACTGAACCTTCAGCCCTGATTCTTTTCAACCTCGCTGTTCTTGATGTTTTTAATTTTTCTAATTTTCAACTCGCTGGTTCACGTCGTGGCTCATCTCCTTTTCAGCGGATTACGTAAAGCACCTTGAACTGCGTTTCTGCGCGAAATGCGCGACACGAATAAACTCGGCCCGGCCTGCCTCCCTCTCTCGCTCTCTCCCTCCCTCCCTCCCTGGCTCCCTCTCTCTCCCTCCTTCCCTCTCTCTCTCTCTCTCTCTCTCTCTCTCTCTCTCCCTCCCTCCCTCCTTCCCTGCCTCCCTCTCTCTCCCTCCCTCCCTCCCGCTTTGTGTCAACAGCCACTGACGCCTTAGTGTTAGTGGCACCGCTCAACTCAATGCCTTTAGAATCAGCTGTTATGCAAATTCTGTGCTCAACCAAAAACGTACAGACGGATCCGATATCGATCCGTCTCCAGCTCCTCATCGGCGAGCTCAGTAGACGGGTCCATTGGAGACACTCATCTGTCGGCCTGCTGAAGACAGTCGGGACTAATTTCAACACTCCTTTTGATTCTGTGACATGTTCCGACTTGTGAGTAATCGCGTTTACTCACACTCACACTCACCGGCCGGCGGTTAAAAGAAACGCTCGGTGAGAAGAAAAGCAGAGAAGATGTTCTCAGTCACGTCCTTGAAACAAGCAGGCAGAAGTACACGAGGCTCTTACTGTTGAATACGAGCTGGCCTCTGGCGACGTTCCGTCCCTTGCTGTTCGCGGCCACACATTCGTACACGCCGGCGTCCTCCGGCCGAAAGTACGGGATCTCCAGAACCCCGCTGGAGTGGTTGACTTTAATCTTGCCAGGAAGTGGGTTTCCATCGGCTCTTCTCCAAGAGATGGAAGGCACGGGGCTGCAGAGGTCGCACACGGAAAGGTCACGCCGGCCACATGCTTCCCGCTGCCACCGACCAGCTGGCAGCTTTATTAATGTGACCAAGCAACTTACTTTCCCAAGGCGAAGCATTCCAGCTTCACCGACGATCCCTTAGAGACTCTGAGGGTGTCGGGAAACTGGACCTCGATCTTTGGCTCATATTCACCCATCACCGCTACGCGAAGGATGAAAGCAAATCAGTCCAAACACAATAAACAACATGGACATGCGGTTCCCGGTAGCTCATAACGACACACCGGCAGGGGAGCGAAACGCTCAGCGGATGGATGGCTTTGGATTACATATCTTGCCTCAGCCCAAATCTGAGGGGGTCCACGTAAACGGTCCTGATGGGAGTTTAGTATGTGTGGCAAGCTCCTCGCCGTGCGTGCGCCAGCATGCGTTTTTGTCGGGGGAAACTACATTACTGCTTATGTGAATATGTGCCTTCGTGCAGTTCCACGGGCCTTTCTGGAATACACAACCCCTCCTGCCGCTCACAGGCTTTGAGATAGTGAACAAAAGCAAAAACAGTGCAAATCACGCCCAAGACAAGTGATTTATCTCCCCCCACACCCCCCCTCCTCTGACAGCGTGATGGACGGACGGCGGGTGCTCACCGTCTCTCCGCACCACCACGGGGGTCGGGGAGCTGAGAACCGTGGCGTTGGTCATCACGTTCCTCACCGCACACGTGTAGTTCCCCGCGTCCGAGGCTTCGACTTTGGCTACGTACAAGTTGCCCGTCCTCTGGGAGATGAAGCGGCGGGCGTCCTGCTGCAGGAAGCTCCGCTGCCCGTTGAAAAACCACCAATATTTGATCTCTGAAGATGACAAAACGAAACAGACATTCTTAAAATCAGGACCTGCTGGGGAAGGAACCTCTATTCGAATAAATGAGATCTCTTTTGAAAGACATGAAAGAATAAAGTTGGTGATATTTAAAAAATAATTATAATAATAATTTCAGAAAAACCATCAATGCTGTAAAATGGCAGCCAGAGCTTCATTAGTTAAAGTAAATACTGGTATGTGGGCAGGAATTTGTTACAAGAGGGAGTTAGATTTCATTGTCTAAATAATTTGTCCATTTAAAAAAGGATTGAAGATAAAGAAAGAGGCAGACGTCTGCGAGGGTCCGTGGAGTGAACCTTGGCAGCCATGCTGAATCGGCCCCTTTGACCGGGCAGAGGTTAAAAAGTCCCACTCGGTTCCCTGGGGGGAGGCAGTGAATTAAAAGCACGGCGGTGATCTTCAGGGGCAGAAACTGACAGACCTTTGATGATTAGATGTTGAAGAGCTGGCGGTCTCACAGCAACAGAGGACTCGCAGGCACATAATCTCATGTCCTCTGACAGTTTAACTCTCAGCATGGCTCCTTTTTACAACACTTACCTTTTGATTGCTCAAAGGCGCTTTGCATTATCTCTCTTCTACCGAGGTGCATCTCTGTGCTCCTCAAGTGGCGCAATCAACCGTGATTAAGGAAGCTTTTGACACAATGTGGCAGCAGAAATACAGACGATATTTCAATTCTAGAACACCTCGAGCCGGCATCATCGCCTGGCGCAAATCCCATCACACGTGCGACGATGCTGTGTTTGAGAGACAAGATGTAGAGATGGAGGATTTGGAGAGGGGGAGGCGGGGGGGGAGGCTGCAGGGGACATTTTTTCGTCTGAATTCCCGCAGGATTCAGCTGGCAGCAGGGAGCGAGGAAGGAGGCTGCAGCGCTGGCGTGAAATTGCGCTGGTGGGCACCCGGATGGCTGCCGGAGTGCGGACCGCTTTGAGGCTCCGCTAATCAGCGGGCCGCAGACACGCGCGCCGACTCGCAGCTGTGGCACGAGGATAAACGCCTCCCTGGCCGCGGCGAAACTCCGCTACCCGCAGATGACCTGCCCGCATACGGAGAGAAACTCAACCAAAGACACAGCCGAGGGAGTGGAGCGCCGGAGGGTTTAAGGACGACAGCATGGTCACAGATCATGTGGGAATCATACATGTGAAGGCACGGGGCAGGTAGAGCGGTGGCTGATCACAAGAAGAAGAAAAGAGGAGAAGTTCCCTGTCCGACAGGTTAGGAGAGGTGAGCGTGTCAGAGCAGGAGAGGAAGAGAAAAAGAGACACGGCGAGATAATAGGCAGCCGAGTGAGGAACAATACAGACTGCTGAGGCAGACAATGTAGAAGACGCAGCGCTGTACCTCCATAATGGGGCGGGGGGCCGCAGAGCAGAACCACGGCTTGACCCTCCCTCACCGACACCGTGTTCCTCGGCTTTCTGCTGAAATTCTGCAGAACTGTTGAAATAGAAAAAAAGAGAAAAAAAGAAGATACAAGTGTTCAGTGTCTGACAGCTGACTTGACAAAATGTTGACAGGGAGGAAAAAGGCATTTCCTTCTGCAAAATGACTTGATGTTGTCCTACTAGTCAGACCCGCGGGTCTCATTAATACAGCAGCAGGAGATCTAGTAGAAGGTGCCGCTCAGCAGTAGAGCTTGGGACGTTTCTTCCGCCTTTCATTAAATGCTGCCTTGCAATATGAGGGGAAATAAACAGCGTGGAAGACCTATAAATCCCACATAGTCTCAGGAGTGATCCATCAAATATCAGCAGCACTCAAATCCAAGTCGACTGATAAAAATAAAAAATCCAGACCTCCATCTGTCACGCAATAATCACGCAATAATCACTGCCGGTCTTGCCCTTTCAACAATTGGGCTTCCATCCCTACGTAGGTTGTAGGCTCGTCCCTGGGGAGGCTTCTGCTCAGCAGACGCTCACGTGACGGGGTGGATGTGCGGCGTTCTGAATTTGAATGGCGCAGAACAAATCAACTGACAGGAGCAGATACCAAACGGGCACTGTCAAGGAATAACGTGACGCCCCCCGTCCGCTCCTACATACGACAACAAGCTATAGCAACTATCAACTAAAATCAATACCTGGCATGCTAATATTAATTCGGTTATTAGGTTAAACATCAGATTGGCGGTTATTTATTTTGGTAATTGTCAGCTGAGTGCTTCCCATCTGTCGGCATGACGTCATCATCTGGGTGTCACTCACTCGGACCCACGTCAAAAGGAGGAGACATAGAGCAGCGCTCTCTGCAGAGGTAGACTACTCCACTCCATCATTACCAAGCAATCTGTGCACGTAAATACAAGAATCTGTGTACACTCACAAGCAAACTGGACCTTCGCTTCTCTGCTGACAACGGTCCCAAAAGTGTTGGTGGCGATGCACTGGTACACTCCTCCGTGATTGACGACGTGTGGATTATTGATCAACAGGTTCCCCTCCACAAGGCTGTAGTAAGGATCGGACTGTGTGTTTATTTCTCCCCCATCCATTTTCCACCTGTAGAGCAGGAACCAAACGGGTCACCTGGGTCTGCTAATAGTGGAATTCCTTTTCATCTTCGGGAGGAAAAAAAGTCCTAAACACTGCAGTGTCACACAGTCAGAGGGGAGGAAAAAGGCACGTACCTATAATGAGGAGGTGGGTTCCCCTTTGCTTTGCAGTTAATAAACACCTGCTTATCGTCGGTGCTTAAGGGGAAAATACTGTCACTAGGCTCCTGGGTGAAGACGGGACCATGGCGCGTATTCTCTGTGTGGAAACAAAAAGCACATTAGCCGTACGGTTATGCTCAGCATGTGACACTGAATTAATGCAAAAAAAAAGTCTTTCAAACAATTAGCTGCCAACATGGCTCTCCTGCGTTTAATATACTCTCCTGTGCACGTGGCACGAGAACGATAATGAATACACAGCGATAAGAGAATAATTAACTTAGATAACCCCGTCCGTGGCTAAAGTTCACGAGTCGTGACTTTCTTTTGATTGTTCACAATCGGGAAGCTTATTCAGAAGTATTTTTATAGTTACAGTGTCAAAGGAGGAAAATGCAAACAACATGTCGACTCATTGATCCATCTTGAACTCAAGTAATTAGTACTGCATTTATACACGTACCGTTCTTCCATTATACATTTACAGAATAATATGATAACTGTTGCAGATCTAATCTCCCAAAGGCATCTGTCTTCCCTTTTCTACCTGTTTGCCAATATCAGCTGCAGCTAACTGAACATTTCCCTTCATTGCATTCATATATTCCCGTCTTGGGTTAAGTTACAAGACAGAAATGCAACCCATCGCAGCTAACGTTATAGCACATTCTAATCTTGCTATCGTGCTATCTGGCCAATGGGATTTTTCCATTCCTTTTGGATTATTACAGATAATATACTTACACATTTTGTTTGGATTTTTGAAGCGTAAATGTAATGCAATGCTAAGATAATTTCGCTTTGCATGAAGGCGTTTAGCAAGCTTCAAAATTCACGTTGCATTTAACGTGTAGACACACTTACAACATCTTAAGCCTGTGTTTACCGCACACCTTGTTTCAGGTATCTAACCCGAAACCAATGCATGATATCAGGGAGATAAAGGCAAGGCAAGTTTATTTGTATAGCGCTTTTCATACACAAGGCAGACTCAAAGTGCTTCACATTATAACATTTCATACAATAAAGTGAAATAAAATGCAGGAATTAAAAGATAAAAACAGCAAATAAAATTATAAATTAAAATCTTATTTAAATTGTTTAATTAAAGGCAGAGGTTAAAAGTGCAATGTAGGTCAAATTTAGCAGAAGGCGAAGCTGAACATAAAAGTTTTCAGTCTTGTTTTAAACGTGGTCAGAGTTGGGGCTTAAAGTCTTAAATCTTCAGGAAGTTTATTCCAGCTGTTTGTTGCGTAGTAACTAAATGATGCTTTCCCATGATTTGTATTTACTCTGGGAATCACTAACAGATTGGTGTCAGAAGAGCTTTGTGATCTTGAAGGCTTATGTAGTGGAAGCATATCAGTGATATACTTTGGCCCTAAACCATGCAGTGATTTATATGTGAGCAGTAGGATTTTTAAATTAATTCTCTGACATACTGGGGGCCAATGTAAGGATTTAAGAATTGGTGTAATGTGCTCACATTTTTCGGTCTGCGTTAGAACTCTAGCAGCAGCATAAACAAACGGGAAGTACAGAAAAACGTCCTTCCTTTTAAACCTCCTTAATTCCTTGTTTTGGGATTCAGCACTAGCCAAGCCGATTGTAGCTGGTTTAAAGAACTACTATCCAGCCACAGTGTATTTTTCACCCTACAGCAGAATGGTAAAGTGTGGAGCAGGACCGTCCTTATATGCTGACACAGCGCTGTAGAGACAGTAGTGGCTCTGCTGTACCATCACTTTGCCATATGGAGCAATGCAAAGCTTCGGAGGCCTGTTGACCATTGGGTGGTTGCTACGCTATGAATGAACAACTGGTCTTTGAGGAGAAGGGGTCAGCAAATTGTTGGTTGAAGTGTTACTAAAACTTGTCTTACTAAGAGCGACTGTACATCCTCTTTATTCAAACGCACACTTGTGTTTCGGTTCAGAGTGGGAACTTTAACGTTCTCGCACACTTTAAGATAATATGCAATACAAGTAGAAGATCCCGGTTGAGGCGTTTACATGGGACTCGCAATATGCTGCCTTATTCTGGATGTAACGTGATCATCAGAGAACCTCAGGCGCTCAGATGTCTGCATGTTGTTTGTACATGCGTGTCTCCTCAGTCAAGCTGTTGGTAAGTTTCTGCCAAGCGATCAATACACAGGAGTAATTAACCGTTGTTGCACTAATTACTCCCAAGAAATCTAACATTTCTTCGGTGGACTCACGCTCACACACTGGTGCAGTGTGACCCCCCACGGTGCCGTTGCTCTTTCAAAAATGGTTAATTTATCTTTCTTTTTTTCCTCTAACCTTGGCTAGGACAAAGAGTGCTCCCTCCCGTATCATCATCGCCATAATCATCCTAATGAGAGTGGGAGTCTTTGCTTCAGATAAGAGCCCCGATTTCCCACGGCCTCTGAGGGAAGCGTTTCATTTTTTTATCATTTTTTTTACCCTGGTTGTTATGTCCTTTTTTAATGAAACAAATTAATGAGCCTTAAATAGCCAGGGAAGATGACCGGGTGGCTGTGTGTGCCTGCTGGAGAACACGGCTGCCCTGTAAACACACAGACCGGTCTGACCACTAGCACACACGTAAACACACACATACAAATTAACACTTGATTAGTTTCCATGTGTGCATGCAAATTTGATCAGTGTATGTGGTCCAGAGCATGCTGCTGTTTAGCATTCTTCCCTTCTGTGTTTGCACAGACACACCGCAGTGAAACTGCTGACTGGCGATGAGATGCTAAATCAATAGAAATGGCAGCATGAACAACAAAAGAACAAGCCGCACTCTGTGAGCTGTATACATTTAAATGTATTTGTTTGTGATGACTTGTAAGCGGTTGGCATTAGATCGGCATACAGTGTACAGCACATGTTGACGTTGTCACTGCGCCGGTTACCGTATCCTGACATTAAGTGAGAGCTCTGAAGCTGTAGCTCATACAGGTATTAACGCTGCTCTGCTTTCCTCTCAACGTTGAAAAAGAGCTTGTATCGGGTAGTTTTTATAGTACATACCAAATTCCACGTGCGGGAACATTGCGTAATGAAATAGCAAGGTGTTAAAATAAAAAAGACCAAGGGAAGCGTGAGCTCCGGTTGGGTCTCTGACAGTGAGTCACGTTCATCAGATGGGCATCTGAATAGAACGCGTTCAACTACGGCTGCAGTTAAATATTAAGATAAAAAATAATCTGCAATCTTAGCATAGCAGGTAGTTTCACTTTTTCTGGGACAACTTCGTCCCTCCAGAGGAATCTACTCTCCTAAATTCAAACTTCTTCCTCTGTAGTTCATCTTTACCCCCGAATGCTTTGCGAGGCTGTTTAAAACTGAAGTAAAATCTCCAGATTTAGCCAAGTTTCGCCCATTTTTTGTATAAAGTATTCCCAAATTTTGCCCATCTGAATAACGAAAGGCCTTCCGAGACGATGGCTCTGTTTCAAAGGAGATAAACCTGCTTGGGAACGAGGCGAACCCTCCCTGTTGGGAGCTGGATGCATATCAGGTGTCTGTCGTACAAAGGCGGCTCTACTTGGCGTCTCACCAGCAAGGCACTCTTTGAGTGACAGAAGGATTAACAGTTCCCATGGCAACAGCATCTTCATTTTCCAAGGTCAGATTCCCCTTCCTCCCATGCAGTCGAGGAGAACGGAGGATATTTCCAGGGGCAGACGCTCCTCCGTTTGGCTCTGTAAGAACAAAAATGAGGGCACATGAGTGTGTGGACATGCCGTCCACAACAAGACTTCTTGAAAAGAAAAGAGAAGATAAAGAACGTGCTGCAAGTCGGCAAACCATTAATAATTCATTCAAATAAGCCGAGCCAAGATCCTGTGCTGAAGGGCAAGCTAGGAGCTGGTACCTAGCAGCTGATCTTTACTGTGTACATGCCGCTGCTACACTATCTACTCGTGGCGAGTGAAGCATTACAAAAAAACATGTAAATATAAACAAGAAAAGGAAAATATTTGGCTTGCAGCAACAGATGAGCAGAGCAGCCTGCTGACAGTGATGCTAAGCTTTCGAATAACTGCTATTTGACATTTACTTTGTATTAATGTACACTGTATATTAGGGATTGCTAATGAATGCTGACCGAAGTGAAAAAAAATAGATAAACCCACTTAAAACAGTTGACAGAAGGCACATTTTCTGTGGATCATGATGAAGGGAACTGTCATTTCAGAACTACAGAATGAAAGTTTTGATGATTTGGCCAACTTTGTCAAATGACTGGAAACTATATACAGTGAGATTATAAATTCATGTTTACTGAGGGGATAGATGAAGAAGCATATAAATATATATATAGTATATAAATGCTCAATTTATGTGCTTGTCATCTATTATCAAAATATTTAAAATTAATGACTAAAAATGAAATGCCACTACCTCATTATCATTAAAAAGTGAAAATTACTTATAATAATAAATAAATATATACATATAATGAAACGAACACCTGATTGCACCCACATCAAATAACATTATCGTGCAAGCTTGTATGATGGAACAACTGTTTTTTTACAGTATTTCTTTCTCTACAGCCTTTTCTGTTTTAGTGCCTGTGGTTGTGCTGCCAACAGATGGATGCAACGAACTTGAAGAAGCATTAGCCATAAAGGGAGTAAAGTAGATTTATTATGCTGTCCATTATTTATTCTAAGGGGGCACAATACTGATCAGTCAAGCTTCATCTTGTCAGTCGTCGTTATTGATTTGGTTCTCCACCTTTTTCTTCCCAAAGCTTTTGCCTTTTTGTTTATCATCCTGCCCACAATCTTGTCAAGTCTCATTCAAATATGGAGGGAAGAATCAATGAAGGGAGATTTGTTTGATGGCTTTCCTTTATGAGACTCACTGTGTTGATAACCTGTATGCTTCAGGAGAAAAACAATGAAGAAACTTTATCCGTGTGTCAAGCAGGAGAAGCATCCTTCTGACCCACTGTGGGCCGTGAGCTATGAAGGTCTCCTTCAATAAACTGCTCTAGTTCACACTGTTCTTCAGAGCCAGAAGTAAAACTGCTGTTGATTAAGACGCTGGATGAATAGGCGAGAAATAAATCACACAAGGTGCGTATGGCAATTACAAGGTTAAAAATTGTTTCGGGGGGGGGGCTGGCGGGCACTCAGAAACTTTTAAATCAATGCAGAAAGTTCTCCAGACTTTGTCAAAACGCCTATCTGCAATCAATGCTGTCATAGGCCGGCACCTGTAAGTAATTCCAAATCAATATGCTTTCCAATTCAGACGCCCTCTCCAAGAGTTGTGTGAGCGGAGGAACTCCGATCGAGTCAAATTAGAACCACAGATGAAAACACGACAAAACCTGCACGGTCAAAGCGGCCCCGTGGTTTGGACCGACGGCCCCGACGAGCTGCTTTATCGTCTGATGCGTGTCAACGAGAACGAGCGTCTTTGCATTGATCACACCGAGCTGATCATTGTCCATGGCCATACGTGAGCCAGAACCGCAATGATTCAGAAGCTAACGCCTTCCTAAAGCACGGGGCGGATCTTAATTGGACCATTTGACGTATAACTTCTAGGTAATGTCCCCATTAACACCCACATAATTCACTCATGCAAGTGAAACGGAGACGGATCATTTGCTGATACGAGGGTGCTCGATGAGGAATTACAGCGATTGGTATTTAGTGGATTGAGAGGATACAGGAACCATTACATCCACTGCAGAGGTTGTCTAACAAGCCCCCCAGCAGCCTTGAGTCATTAGCCTACACGCTCTGCCCAGTGATCAATGTTGATCTATGTTTGCTGTCGTCAGCTGTCCACTTTCACTTTCGAGCTGATCAACTTTATTTTGCCGGCTCGCAAGCGCGCTTGTTTGGCATTCAAAGTCAGACACAAGGACCCTGATTGCTTTCAGCCATGGACGCTGGCTATTATGCATAAAGTGTGAAAAATGCAGAGGGCCACAATCCAGTAGGGTGTCTAAGCTATGAGGCCGGCGCCTTTCCTCCGTGGAATAGCAGGACTCTGTTTTAATGACGCATGGGCCCCTGGCATCCTTTGGGGAGGATGTGTTTCTTGGTCACAGTCCAGAAATTTAAAGCAGTTGCTTGTGAGCCCCATGATTAATTTATATACCCTAGAAAAAAAAGGAATATAATGGTAATAATTCTAGTGCCCAGCGGATGGTGGTCGCAGGTGTTGGAAATACCAAATGGGATGAGGCTAAGCTAATGGTGCCTGCGAGGGAAACGATCTGTCAGGGGTAATCCCTAATACTGTAACACCGCCCGCCACAGATAATACGCTTCCTCCGCCTCTCTCACTATATTGAGATAGCGGTGGAGAAAATGATTAGAGGACGGTGGGGGGATGGATATTGACACGGATAAATGTATGTATCCAGAGTGAAGTATTGCCGGGCTTAATGTTCAGTGGCGACGAGCTTCCCACTCTAGAATAGCCAAACTGGGGTATGAACAAAAGGGTGTCCTGTTCCACATCATTACACTCGGTGTAATTGGCTGAACATGGAACTACAGAATTGAACTTGTGAGAAGCCATTAAGCGTTTAGAAGGGGGTGCGTACCAATCTGCTTTGAACAGGGGCCTCATAAGAACATTGAGTTGACGCCACGTCATCGCGGCTTTAAGCTCCCCCCAACAGATGGAAAACATACAGCTTCATACGTATTAATTGTTGAATAAGACGACGCTCATATTAAGCCACGTGGGATCTATATGGGGCTCCAGTTTCATCATCGGAAAGTGCCAGTCTATGTAAATACGCAGTAAAGCCTCCTGATCTCAGAACTCGAATCCAGTCAGCCACAAGAGAGCACGGGCAGCGCTGCAGCTGGGGACGCCAACTGTCACTCACGCCACAAGTGCATGATATTACTCATTACCCAAGAGTTGGAAGAGAATATTGAAAGCCAACCTCCCGTCGATCCAATAGCAGCTCAGCAAACCCAGGCGTACAGGATGTTTGGGCGTGGGAATGATCAAAGTGAGAAGACGCAGAGAACCTGAGCAGCTTCCATCTTGTATCATTTGCATACGTCTGTGTGTAACTATAAATGCTCCATTTCTTTTTTCGTTTTCCTTCACTTTTACACGTCTACGTTTTCAGCACAGCTGAGACTGAAAAACACTGCGTAGCCACAGCTCTGATGGGCCTGGATGCCACTGTGCGACATGGGGAGGAATAACAACCAAGAAAGGGAGCATGACATTAGTGCTCGTGTTGAACCACAGATTGTGTGCTGGAGAGACTGATGTCTACAATATGCTGCTTAGCCTGCTAATCCAGCCACCCGGCCCCCCGGGTAAGAGAGGAGAATTGGTCAGTATAATACACATTAAAGCAGTGGTTGAGAGTATCTGACCTTTTGTTTTTTTTCCCCAAAATGTGCATCTCTATTTTCAAAGAGCACCCTTTCATTAGTTATGGAGTTATCTTCTCCCTTGCAAATTTACGACTCTAATTTTGGACCAGTTGCATTGGTTTAATATACTAACTCATGTTTTGAAGTAATCAATCCACAATCAATTGTGGTTTAACAGTACACATAGTTATGTCTCAGAACCGATTGTTGAAGTCAATGGCAACATTTAGTACAAACGTCTACTTAGTTTCACTCTCTTGTGTCTAAGATAGTGACTAAATGCCACGCTTGTACACATACGATGAGATCACAGAGACCCTCCCATTCCTTCTGAGCTGTGGAGTCGAGAGAAGTAGCAGTCCTGCTTAACATGGGAAGAAGTAGAGGTTACCCGTTTTGTTAGTTTGTTTCTGCCATTTTGGATTTAACAAACCAAGTCCTCTTTGCAGACTTTGACTGCAGGAGTTTGGGTTTCTATTAATCTGAACAGATCCGCAAACTGAAGATGTTTCCCCCTTCCAAAGCACGAGTCGTCGCTTTCTGGTTTCATCCTTGACCCAAACCGCTGGAGAAACTATTAAAAAGAACTGTGGCACAATGTCAATAACTGGCTAAGCTACAGGCTAAGATAGTGCCGTTGTTTTGACGGGGTTCTCAGCAGTTTGGTTGAAAAATGCCTTTTCTTCCCCGGCTGTTAATCAATTGTTGGTGTTTTTTAACGGTCTACTTTCAATCTGGAACATATGGACCCGGCAGTAAAGGTGACTGCTGCCCCCTATTTCTTCTGGAGCTCGGGCACCATCGGCTGCATCATGATTCCTCGCTCCACATTTAGCACCTTTTTCAGCAGGCCTCCATTGTGTCAGCAGCTGTGACCCATTTCAGGGTCGGCCTCCTTTGAAAGAAGGAAAGACCGCAAAAGGTGTCGCCTTCACATGACTGAAGGCTAATGTGCTGCGCAGCTGCACCCACGCCCTTCCAACAAATGAGCCCCGTCCATACGAAGGATAAACCATAAAGAGGACATGCACTATAGGAACCCATATTAGTCCCACTTCCCTGAGTATGACCGCGCGCTTCCACGAGATTACATTCATTAGGAGAAACAAGTCAGACATCACAAACACGTACTTCAAATAGGAATCATAATGACCCGAATGTCTGCACTGGCACCGGAGGCCATTTGTTCTGTGTAATTTGGTTTCCAGCAAGATCGTCGGCTTCGTCCGGTATCGCGAAAAGACTGATTGATTCTGCAGGTTGCCGAATAAAACAAAATAAAAAAACTCACTCTATTGCACCGCCGACATCAGACGGGGAAATAC